CAAGAGTGTGCTTTGATGAAAGTATTCTGTTACTGACCAAGGGCCATGGCACACATCCAAATAAGTGGGAGATACGGCCAACAGTATGCCATCAAGGCAAAGCTTCCAGAAAAATAAACTCAAATAAATCAGTGATCTCATCCATTCAGGGGCTCCCAGCAATGATGCAGATTGCCACACATCCATGCCTGCCCATTCCAGGTGATTCTTGGCCATGTTCTCCCAAAGTTCACGAAGCCAATGTTCTGAAAGCCTTCCTCACTTTTCTCTTGACATTACGAAGGTCTACCTATCACCTATCACCTATCACCATATCACCACCCCACCTCTTCTTCCTGTCATACCCTGCCTAAGTGACGTCCTTCACTTCTGACCTTCTTCAGAGTTCTTGGTTGGTTATGAGGAGCAGCATACCTCCACCACGCACCTGTGCGCTGTGGTCTGGGTGATAGTCATCTTTCATTCTTTAGAAATGGTGATATTCTTGCCACATCGAATTCTTTTACAACTGTCTCCTAACCACACATTAAAATCATTCAGGATTCCTTAGACGGAACAACACAAATAATCCTATTCAATGACCTTCTGGTGACAAGTAACAAACAAGGCATAAAAAGGGGAGACTGAGGTTCAGCAAAGGCATTCACCATTTAATTGGAGGAGATCCAGCATCCAAACAGGCCAAGTTGAAACGGGATTCCCCGGGGATAGTATTCTTCCTGTATGGCATGGTGACGATTCAGCAAGCCCCAGGGCACTGCGGAAGCCCCTGGAAGACCTTTAGAATCACTCAAAGTTGTTTGGCCCCAGATAAGAACCAATGAAAGAATATCTATTTCCCACATTACAAGATCAAAAATCTAGAGGGACCTCAGAAGGCAGTTAGTCCAATCCATTCTTTTTATAGATGGGTAAATTAAGGCCTAGGAAGTTTAAATGACTTGGCCAAGGTTACCCAGATACTAAACATAAGAGACACAATTTGAACCTAGGTCCACTGACTCTAATGCTGGTGTTTTTTCTGTTGTGCCAGTGCTTAGCACAAAATGCTGGGCAGCTAGGTGCTATAGTGGATAGAGTGCCAAGTCTGAAGTCAAGAGGACTCCTCTGCATGAATTCAAATATAGCCTCAGACACTTAGTAGCTGTGTGACCCTGAGCAAGTCACTTAACCTTGTTTGCCTCAGTTTCCTCCTCTGTAAAATGAGCTGGAGAAAGAAATGGCAAATCACTCCAGTATTTCTGCCAAGCAAACCCCAAATGGGGTCAAGGAAAGTCAGACATAACTGAAATGACCAAATAACAACAAATGAATTGATCCACATGGGCTGAAATACTCACTTGTGCTTGGCACTAAAAATGATTATGTGCAGGTTAAACTTGACAGGGAAACGACTGATCAACAACAAAAATCAATGCTACTTGACTGACTGGACCAAAGATAAGCTTCAATAATCATTAAAAAATAATAAAATTGTGTTCTAAATCCTGGATGTCCAACATTGACCCTAGAGTCACATGTCCCAACCTTGGCATGTGACTCATTTGAGATTCTTAGTAAAGAAAATTTTACTGCATTAATTTATACAAATAAACTAGGAGAGTCTAGCCACCTGAAATTTCTGATTAGGTGACTAACCTCTGAGCAATGTTTGAATTAGTGTAATACTATAAACATGCATTCTCTCTGATAAAATTGCTGAAATCCAAGCTGAGAGCCACCATCATTGATGTAAACCCAGAAGGAGAATTCAATTGTTCTTGAGAATAGTTGTTTGTTAAATATCAATATTTTCATTAACTGAGTCAAATACAATCAACAATTAATACTAAGCACTAGGATTTCACTTCTAGATAAACAAAGTTGTTTCAACTGTTTTAGGACTGCCCCCCCCCCCAAAAAAAGCCACATAAACTTCACCCTTGTCCTCAGTAATATTGTATGAGACCTGCACTCAGATAGATTTCTAAACAAGTAGCACACTGCAATAAAAACTTAGATGCCTTTTCTTTATCTCAGAAAATGGGCATAAATACTTCTGTGTACATGGATTATACAAGAAAGTACTCCAGTCTCTGATACCACGTAATAAATACAACTTGATCATATCATAAGCTGAACTAAAATTAATATGCTTGCTGTATTCAACATTAAATAATTACCAACAGTGTAGTCTAAGGAATTGCCTCGCCCTTTCAGAAACTCCTCCTCCCCCTTGTTTGAAACAAGGATAGCAGATAGCTTCACCTCTAGGAGAGGGGCTCCCTGGGAAGACCAACCAAATGCCTCCATGAGCTTTGGTAGATCACAACCCTGAAACTGTAGGATTTGTCAATTCCTAGAAAGCTGAGATTAAGGTCTCAAGTTACAGAGGGAATAATGAAGCCTTTATTTAGCCAGTGTTCATTGAAATAGGAGAAGATATAGAAAAGGAGAAAAAAAAATATGATAATTTACAGAGTTCTTTGTCACCAGAGGGCTTGGAGCAAAGGTGAGACAGGCATTGGTTGTTCAATTCAACAATCTTTAGGTATCTATTGACCCTTGCCCCAAAGGGAATCTGGCTCTATAGGCCCCAGCTCCTTATTTCCCTTTGAAAGCTTTAGCCTTACCGATCTTATTCAGATGTGCCTTCCTCCCTAGCCCTAAAAAGAATCTGGCTCCCAATTGTCTGTGAAGAACATCCTTAAACTTTTAGATTCCTTATAGACTCCTCTTATCTCCCTTCCAAAGCCTTATCCTCTCCTTTTGATCTTATTCAGATGTACCTTTGCCCCTAGCCCTAAAAAGAATCTGGCTCCAGTTTATCTAGTTTATCTAGGAACACCCTTAAACTTTTAGGTTCCTTATTTACTCCCCTTCTCTCTCTTTGAAAGCCCTGGCCCAACCTTTTGATCTTATACCGATGCCTTTCAAACTTCCTCCTTCTGGTTCCTTTCATTGTCTATTCCCATTGTCTGTTCAATCTCTCAGACCTTCCAATCGGAATTCTCTTCTAGACCCTTTTCCCAGTCCCCTCCTCTGGCCACCCAAAGTTACTTTAGTATATAAAGGGTCCACCCTGGCCCCCATTCAGGCTCTGAGAATCTCTCATGCCCAAGAGGCTGAGCTTTCTCATGCCTGCTCGTCCTTATGGGCATCACCTGGCCTATATGATTTATCTCTAATAAACTTTTTCTCTGGCTGGAAGAAGATTTGAGTTGAATTCTTTCAGGCAGGGTCTGGTGCCGCGATCTTGGGGGTCCATTCGAGCACCCCGAACTTCTAGACCTCTTCATCTATAACATGTAAAAACACCATGCTAGCCACTTTGACACTAAAAAAAAAAATAAATTACACAGTTTCTGCCCCAGAGGAGCTTTGGGAGGGGGGATTCATAGGGACAAAAGAGAGATCCAAGGCAAAATGTTATGCAGTCAGAGGTCAGTCAGTCCATAAACATTTATTAAGCACCTACTATGTGCCAGGCAAGGTAAAAGACAGTCCCTGCTCTCAAGGAACTCATAACTTAATGGAGGAGACAACATGCAAACAACTATATAGAAACAAGCTAAATACACAGGTTACACTGGAAACATCAACTGAGATAAGGCACTAGCATCAAGGAGGATGGGGAAAAGCTTTTTTGCAGAAGGTGGGAATTTGCCTGGGACTTGAAGGAAGGCAGAAGACAGAGTGGATGGAGAGAATTCCAGGCATGGGGAACAGCAAGTGACAAAGCCCACAGTTGGGAGGCGGAGTTTCTTTATGCAGGGAGAAGAAAGAGGCCAATGTCACTAGATCCAAGAGTATGTGGAGAGGACTTAGGTACGAAACAACTGGAAAATTGGGAAAGGGCCAAATTATGAAGGGCTTTGAAGGCCAAACAGAATTTTGTATTACTAGGAAGGCTAATAGACTGCTGTGTTGGAGAAAACTGAGAACTTAGGGTTTTCTAGTGCCTTGCACATTGTGTGGAATAAATTCTTCTTGAAACGAACTGAATTAAATTAGAAGAGGATGGACAAGGGCAAGTGGACTGTGCCAACATGGGAAGCTGAAACAATAGCTTGAGCATGAACCTGGGAGTTGGTGAGAAAGGAAAAGACTGGGCATGAAGATGGGATTCTTTGTTCATAGTTTGGGCTAGATGGCCTTTGCGGTCTCTTCGGAGGTTCTTTGAAGGCAAATTCGCTTCGGAGTTGATTTGAACTGATAGTGATGAGGGTGGCTAAGAAATTACTAAGAAGACAAAAGGAAAGAGGGGAAAGAGCACTAGTCAAAGGAACCTGAGTTAAAATACGACCTCAGATACTACCCCTGTGACCTTGGGTAAATCACTTCATCTTTCTAGCTCTCAGTTTCCTCATCTGTAAAATGAATGGGGTTGGACTAGTTAGATTCTGAGTTCCCTTGATCTCTAAACCTATGATTTTAGGATAAATAATGGAGGAAGACTGCCATTGAATGAATGAATGAAGGATTTACAAAGTACAAAACACAGGGATACCCACTGGGGATACAAATTAAAAATGGCGATGGGGCCAGCCCTTAAGGAATCCATAGTCCATGAGGAGGAGGCAAGAAAAGACTAGAGAAGCCACGCCTCAGGAAGGCAGTTTTTGGTGTGGCCTGAGGGCAGTAAATCGGCACACCCCTCCAGGCAGCAAAGGCAGTCATTATGTGAGTTATTACAGATTATGATTTGGTTACAGAACTGGGGGGGGGGGGGGGAACGAAAGCATATTAAAACGTTTATGATTGCCACGTTCAAAATAAAAAAGAATTTTTAGAAAAAAGAAAGTTGAAGGTTTTCTGTACATTGTCTGGGTGGGTCTCAGTTTCCCCAGGTGCAAAACTAGGAGTTTAGGCTCCACGACCTCTGAAATCCCTTTTAGCCCTCAAGCTAAAATGCTAGGGATTGGGTTAAGGGGATGCAGAGGGTGGACTGGGTCACCTTGGAAGAAAGGTACGGACCTTTCACAGGAAAGGAAGGCGGAGTCGCGGGGGGGCGGGCTTACCTTGAAGTAGGCGTACTGGAGGAACTTGTAGGGCTCGCGCCGCTGGAACTCCTCCAGCACCTCGCGACTGGGCTGCGACTGGCGGAAGGCGGGGAGCCCCTGCTTGCAGCGTTTGAGGCACCTCGCGCGGTGCAGCAGGTCCCCGAAGAGCCGCAGCTCGGGGAAGCCGGCGAACCTGTCCCGGGGCTGGGGCTGAGGGTCAAGGCCAGGGTCCGGAGCGGGTGCGGGCGCGGGCGCGGGCGAGGGCACGTCCCTATCCATGCGCACGGTGCTGCAGTTGAGGTGGCAGAAAGCCTCGCTGTCCCGCAGCAAGCGGTGCAGGCGCATGCTGATCTCCAGGTAGCCCACGCTCTCGGCCCAGTTCTCGTGGCCGTACTGGTCCAGGCCGTACTTGTAGGCGGACTCCAGGGGCATCAGCTCGTCCCGGGGGAAGCTGCGGAAGCTGTAGCGCTCGTACTGCGCCAGCCCGGGCCTCAGCGAGCAGCAGATGCACAGGGCGCAGAGCAGGGCTCGCCCCGCGCCAGCGGCCACCCAGAGGCCGGGGGTCCCGCCACGGCCGACCTGCCCCATCCGGCTGCCGCAGATGCCCTGCCCGGCGGCCTTCTCTCCTCTACTATTCCCACCAAACTCACCAAACTTGCCTCCTACTCCTGACCCCAACGGCTCACCCCTCTCCCCACCCCCACAGGGGGTGCGTGCCTGAACTGTCGGGGTGTCAGTCTGGGCACCACCACGTAGAGGAAGAGGTTAGGGGAGGGGTGGGTCAAAGCGGCAGGACGAGGGATCAGGAATGCGGGAGGAGAGTTTTCTCTTCGTCCTCCCACTCTGGACCCCAGTGGCTTGCCCTTCACCCACCCCCACGGAGAGTGCCTGCCTGATTGTCGGGGTGTAGGCCTGCGCGACCACCACGTAGCCAAAGAGGAAGAGGGGCGGGGGAAGTGGGGGAAAGGAGCAGGAAGAGAGATCAGGAATGCGGGAGGAGAGTTTTCTTTTTGCCCTCCCACTCCGGGCCTCTCTTGGTAGGACTTGCCTCGCTCGGGCGGGGATTTAGGAAAAGATTGACAACTTGAGGCTAGCTAAAGAGGGGAGGCGTCCCGGCCCAGCCAGGCTGCTGCCTCTGCCACTCTGGCCTTCCCTGGAGACAGAGGGGTGTTGTGTCTGGCAGGGGCCTCCATCAACTTTCCCTTCCTATAATCAGCAACGCCTTCCCCTCACATCTCCATCTTTTGGAGTACTGTGCTATCCATTAGACTTCCAGTTTCAATATTAATATCATCCACGAATTTTTCCACAGTCACCCTAGTCAGTCAAGAAACATTTGTTAAGCACCTACTATGTGCCTAGAATAGCCAATAATGATCTCTTCCCAAATACTCAACACTTCCTTCCTACTACTCTTTTGCCGTTGTACCTGTCTACTTTTAGCTATAAATGTAACTTATTTTGCTTATTAGGTGTTAAGCTTTTTGAAGGCAGGGAGCTGATTGGACTTTAGTCTTTGATCACAGATTTATAGCTGGAAGGGACCTTAGCAGCCATAATTTAACAAGAGGAAACTGATTCCTAAAAAGGTTATCTGATGTACCCACGATTACACAGCTAGTAAATCTCTGAAGTGGAATTAGAACTCAGTTGTTCCTGACTCAAGACCAGTTGCCTATCTGATTACACCACATTTACCCTGTGCTACCTAACTGCCTTGCCTTCCTGATTATAGTTGCCAATAGATTCAGAATTAAATTAGCCAGTTCTAGACCTTAAGAAATTGAAACATATAATATTTAAGAAACATATACTACTTAAATCTAACTATAGACTTTTTATTTTATTTTTATTTTTTGCTTTTTGGTGAAGCAATCAGGGTTAAGTGACTTGCCCAGGGTCCCACAGCTAGTAAGTGTCCACCTAGCTGCCCCTTAAACATTATTCTATTTCATTCCTTTATTTTTTTTTTGAGGCAATCTGGGTTAAGTGACTTGCTCAGGGTCACATAGCTAGTAAGTGTCAGAGGCCACATTTGAACTCAGGTCCTCATGACTCCAGGGCTGGTGCTTAATCCACTTGCCACCTAGTTGCCCCTGGACTTTTAAAATAATAGACAAACCATTCATGGTACACACAGGAAGGCAATGAGTCCTACCATATGCCAACCAGCTTCTCCAGTCACCAAATTTCTCTGCTGTCTATTCTGGTTCCTGATAGGCAGAATAGCTCACGTGACAATTCTTTAAATACAAATCTCTCTGACTTTTAAAGCCTGTCTCCAATTTACCTTTTTAGTTTTAATAGATATTGTTTCCCTTCATGAACTCTAGATCCAGCCAAACTAGCTTCCTTTCCATTCCTCTGGGAGTAGGGAGTTTTCCTAACACAAGTCATTCTATCACTCATTAGTAGTGTTAAATGGGGAAGAACCTGATACACGCCTAAGAGGCAGTGTTACAGAATGAATAGAGTGCTCCCACATCAGATACTTACCAGTTGTTCTGACTATGCCCAACCATGGTCCAAAAGGGAAGACGCTTCTTTCACTATGGAGCCCTGCAACAGAGACTCAGATCATCTGGACAAGTTACATCATTTGTAAAGGTTTCAGTCTACACATGCATAAAATGGGGTTACAAATAGAATGCTGATGGTGAAGTCAGGAAGATTTGTGTTTGATATTCAATAACTGCATGACCATGGGCAAGTCACTTAATGTCTTGGGCCTCAGTTTCCCATCCATAAAATGAAGAACGTAGTAGGAGTCAAATCCGTTTTATGTAGGCTGGACTCTAATCCTCTAAGGGGCATAGATTCCCATTCTGGGAATTTGGTTAGTCCAGGGACTTACCTTGGTTTTCTTGTCACTGGACGCATAAAAAATGATTGGTGCTGATTTGGTGTTCTTGTGGTTTGGCAGAATTTCCACCTCGGTGGAATATCAATCTGTCAGGTAACAAACATTTATTAAGCCTTTACAATGTGCCGGGCACCTAATGGCTTTCTTCCTCAATTTTGCTGCCTTGGTGAATATGAAAACCAAGGGGAACAGCATCTATTTGAATTGGTAATGGTAGCCTTTTAAATCTCATATTTTTATTGAATTTCATAGTCCATGAACGTTTCATTGCATTCCAGTCCCAAAGGAGTTCAAAAGATAGCTTTTAGCCTACCTAAGGGCATTACTAAATATTTTCAGGGGTGGGGTGTTTTCATTTGGAAAGAGCTAAACATAACTCTTAGGGTAATTAAGTTATCCAGGGGCCACATCCTTCCGTGCCTTCCCCCATATGGGGCTAAAACCTCTAGCAGAGAGACCATTGCTGCATGGGGTCCCTCCTCTGAGGACACAGCTGCTTACCTGATGACAGCACCAGACGCTACCCATGGTCCCCCAGCATCCCTGGGGAGGGTTTCCATGTCTCCTGGCCATGTATGATCCCCAAACCTATGTCCTATTAAGTGTTCCTGTATGTGAACCCTCCTCTACTAGTGCTATGGTATCCTCTGTACATGAGGAATATGGAATCCAATAGCAGCTGCTTTGAACTAAAGTGTCTTCCCATTCCCAGAAAATCATAGATTGAGAGCTGAAAGGGGACCCCAGAGGATCTCTAGTGCAGCCTCATTCCATAACTTTACAAACTAGAGACCAAAGCTTCCAAGCTAAGTGACTGGCCCAAATTTACACTGGTGGTAAGTGACAAAAGTAGAATTTGAATCTGGCAAAGATGGGATCTAGACCCCAAAAAAGAAAAACCCTGGACTTTCCCACATGGCCAAATCTCTGGCATTCCCCTGAAGCTATCATCCCATCCACTGGCCTTTCATTGTGGTTATGCCCAATCTGTTACCCTTAACCTAGCCTGGCCCTCCCTATGCCCTGGCTACTTCCCACCCTTAATCCTATCTAGGCTCCATTCTCCCTTGGCCACCCCTGGAGTTCTATTACCTCATAGACTCTATGGCCACTTCTAGATCCCTCCCATAGTCTTTATGTATATAAGGTCCACCTCATCTCCATTAAGATGATTGGATTCTTATAATCTAGCCACTGCTCAGATTTTTACAGTCTAGCCAATAGCTCACAGATGCTCAGATTCCTAAAATCTAGCCACTGCTGAGATTTTTACAATCTGGCCACTAGCTCACAGGTGCTCAGATTCCATAAGAGACTGGCCAATATGACGGATGTCTCACAAACCTCGTCTTTGGCTGAAAGAAGGCTTGGGTTGAATTCTTTCGGGCAGGACCTGTGTATCGTGATTTTGGGATTCCAGCATCCCTAACCTCTAAACCTCATCAAATTCAGGATCTTTGACTCCAAATTCTGTATCCTTTCCACTGTCCCAAGGTATCCCTTTTACCTAGTCTGGTTAAAAAGAAACAAATCAGCTGGGGGCTCAGGAGCTACCTACAGTTTAAGAGGCTGCCCACCCCCAGCCACAATGTTTCTCACATGTAGGGTGGCATTCAGAGGAACTCACATATGAGATGGAGCCATAATTACAGCCATTAATTAGGCTGTAAAGCCAATGTTAATGGCCAAAGAAAAAGAGGAAATGGAGGAAGAGTGGAAATAATGGGAATTAATAATTGTTGTTTTATGTTGAGGTTTAAAGTTGGGAGAGCTGGTTCAGGTGTGAAAGAATTCACTTAGACCTCTGTAACCATTTTGAGCTTTATTTCCTGAAAGCTTCACAGGTCTGAGATTAGCAAGGAGCTAAACAAAAGCCCTGACATAAGGGGAAAAACCAGGGCTATATAGACAGAACACTACACAGCCTGCAGGATGATCATGTAATGTTAGGGTTTCTTATGGGGGTTGAAGATGAGGGCTTACAAGATAAGGAACCCTGTGTCATGCCACCAGTTTGGGAAGATAAATGACCAAATAGGGAACTCAGGACAAGGGAGACAAAAGCAATTCTTTTGGTACAAGTTGTATAGTATTTCAAGATAAGGGGAAAAGGACTTGAGAAGTTCTCAAGTTCCAGGATCTCAAGATACAGGATGGGGTATAGAATGAGCTTCAAACCCCCTTGGGGGGCTGGGAAAGTCATTCTTAATATTCTTTTAGCTTTTAGGACACCATTTGTATCCACAACAATAACTAACATTAATATTACCACTTCATGATTTACAAAGTACTTCACAAATATTATTCATTTTATCCTCACAAGAACTGTGGAAGATAAGTATTTTTTATGTTGTTAAAAAAAAGATAAAGAGGTAATGACATGTAGGATCACACAGCTACTAAGAGTTCAAAGCAGGATTTGAACTCATGCCTTTCTGATTTGGGGCAGTTAAGTGGTACAGTAGATAGAGCAGCCAGTGCTTGGAATCAGGAAGACTCATCTTCATGAGTTCAAATCTGGCCTCAAGACATTTACTAGCTGTGTGACCCTGGGCAAGTCACTTAACCCTGTTTGTCTCAGTTTCTCATCTGTGAGCTGGAGAAGGAAATAGCAAATCATCCCAGTATCTTTACCAAGAAAACCACAAATGGGGTCACAGAGAGTCAGATATGACTGAAAAACAACTTAACAATTTCCTGATTTTAGGTCCAATGCTCTTTGCCACCAAGCCCAAGAAGCCAGGAATTAGAAGTATCCCCAAGAATGATCTCAGTGTTTTCGGTCAATTTGAAATTTTAGCCAATTGAATTGGGGGCCAGATAGGAGAGAATTTTTTTGCTTCAGAAATTAGTCTGGGGACAAAAATGGAATTTAGTTAAGATTTAAGACAGGAGTAGCAGGTACTGATGGCAAAGTGACTTAAAAGGAGAGAAAATTAAGCAGGGTCTGATGAAGCTAATGCATATATATATTTTTTTTAGCAAGGCAATTAGGGTTAAGTGACTTGCCCAGGGTCACACAGCTAGTAAGTCTCAAGTTTCTAGTTTGAGACCAGATCTGAACTCAGGTCCTCCTAACTCCAGGGCTGGTGCTCTACCCACTGCTCTACCTAGCTGCCCCAAT